TGTAGGCGGAGCCCACACAGGCCCTGGGCGCCACCCCTCGCTAGTAGCCACGGCTCGAGGACGGTAGGCACGTCGGCCTTCCGCCGCAAGGGGAAAACCGTGGTGTAGCGAGAGTAGTCGTCCACCACAATCAGGAAGTAGCACTCCTCACGTGGGCCAAGGACCGGGGAGGTGCCCCAGACGTCCAAGTGCAGGGTCTGGAAGGGAGCTGTGGTGGGGGCGAACGAGGAGGAGTGAGGGGCAGCGCGCTGCCGACCCTCGACGCAAGGAGTGCACGTCGGCGCTGGCGAGCGAGGAAGCGGGGAAAGCGACTCTGGGAGACCTGAGACCAGACGGTGACGTACCATCCTACTGAGACGTGGGAACGACGGGTGACCTAGACGGTGGTGCCAGAAGACCGACGGGTGGGTGAGGGACCGACAGTCGCACGACACAGCAGCTACCTGACCTGACGTGACCTGACCTGACCTGACCTTGTGTGGTGGGACCCAGTGTGTAGTGAGTACAGTCCAGAGCCCAGCTCCCTGTGAAAAGTGGCCAGAGTGGCCCTAGTGGCACCGACTGTGCAGGAGGCAACAGGCTCGTCCAGTGGGAAAGTAGTGACTACACCTAGGTCGTGGAGGTGACTGACACCCACCAGGTTCCTGGAGAACGAGGGGGTGTAGTAACCTGTGAGGAACCCAGAGGGAGCCGCCGAACAAGGGAGAGTGGTGGTGCTGCGGGCAACTACAGGTCCCACAGAGGGGTCAGGCAAGGCGACATTGACTGGAGTGCGCAGTGGTGTGAGGTCAGTACAGTCGCGAAATAAACAGCTGGATGCTCCAGAGTCTAAGGTGAAGGAAAGCTGTGCAGTCTGTGAGGTTGCACCCGAGCCAGTGACAAAGGCTGGTGCTAGACTAGTGGTAGTTGCAGCTCCTACACAAAGACCCTCAGAGGCGCCTGGACTGGAAACAACACACGCACCAAGAATGGAAACACATGTCTCTACTCGTGCAACCGGGATAGGTCCTAGACCAGGTAAGTGAGACTCAACTGGTGCAGCAGTGCGCTGGCGAAGACGCGAGGGCCAGTGCGGTGTAATAGTGTGAGGATCAAAACGCTCACGGTGGAGATTGTCGAGTCGACGGTAGCAGCTGGACGCAGAGTGGTAAGGACTCCAGCAGGTAGTGCCAGCACCAGGGCCTATCAGGGCCCGGTACCCGCAGGGGCCGACGTCTCGCCCACTGCTAGCTGAGCCACTGCTGGGGGCGCCACACTTTGGACCCGCAGGTCCCCACTGCCGGGAGTGCTGCGGCTGGAGACCCTCTCGCCGCAGGAGTATCGTGCGTGGGCTTTCCGGTGGGGCAGCCCCGGTGGCGGAGCTGGAGGTGCTGGAGCTGGCGGTACTACTGGAGTTTCTGGAGTTGGAGGTGCTGGAGGCACTGGTACTGGAGGTACTGACACTGGAGGTGCTACTGGAGCTACAGGATTTGGAGGTACTGGAGGTACTGGTGCTGGAGGTACTGACCCTGGAGGTGCTCCTGGAGTTACCGGAGTTGGAGGTGCTGGAGGTTTTGGCACTGGAGGTGCTGACCCTGGAGGTGCTACTGGAGGTACTGGAGTCCGTGGTGCTAGAGGTCCTGGTGCCAGTCGGCAGGAGTCGCTCTCACCGCGGCAGCTTCGCGAGTGGGCTGTCCCGTGGGGCAGCCCCGGTGGTGGAGCTGGAGGTGCTGGTCCTGGGGGTGCTGTTACTACTGGAGATGGAGGTGCTGGGGGTGTGACTACTCAGCAGCAGCCGTCTGCGCTCCGTCACCTTCTCAGTCTCCCGCCTGCTGTTTCTGATTTCCCTGTTGCACTACTCCTCCGTTACTGTTTCCATCGCCTGACCAGTCTCAGCCACAGTTACTGCCTCACTCCCCACTGCCTGCTCCTACTCCTTACACTGCGGTGACAGAGTCCCTCACTGAGAGTAGAGAGCCTGCGTCGCGTCCTGTCACGCCTGTCCGTACTCGTCGTGCTGCCTGTCCTCGTCCTCCACCTGTCCCAGGCACGCACATCATAGCACTTTGTCCTTCCTCTGTTCCACAGCGTGTTGTCCTGCAGTCGCCTCCTGCGTCTTCTCTTCCTCATGTTCCTGACCCTGAGTCTGACTTTGTTCGTGCTGTCAGTCCGACTGTCACTCGTCTTCTTGCCACAGTTGTGACTGACCCTGCATTTTCGTCTCCTGCTGCGTCTGCCTTAGTCGCTGAGCTTGTTGACTTTGCTGCTCTGTGCCGCCTTGACTACGCTGTGAGTCTTGTTTTTTACTCTTCCTGTCCTCCGTCCGTCAGGGGTGAGCTTTCCCTTGGCTGTGACGTCCTTGAGGACAGGCAGTTTGAGCTGGTGCCTAGCAGCCGCTGCACCTCATCTCGCGTCCAAGCTACTTTGCCCTAAGGGAGACCCGGATGCATTGGACATCCCGACCCCGCGCTCTTACGCAGACGCAATCACGGGTCCGTACTCCTCTTAGTGGCAGATAGCCATGGACGCAGAGATGGCTTGCTGGAAGTCCACAGACACCTACGTCGACGCAGTTCCCCCACCTGGGGCAAACATAGTCGATGACATGTGGATTTTCAGGGTGAAGCGGCCACCGGGTTCTCCGCCTGCCTACAAGGCGCGTTACGTTACACGAGGCTTGAGTCAGCGTGAAGGGGTCGACTTCTTCCAGACCTTCTCACCCACCCCGAAGATGACCACTCTTTGGGTGTTACTGCACGTTGCAGCACAGTGTGACTACGAGCTGCACTCCCTCGACTTCTCGACAGCCTTCTTGCAGGGCAGCCTTCACGAGGCTATCTGGCTACGCCGCCCTCGTAGTTTCACTGGGTCGTTTCCTGAGGGTACCCAGTGGAGCCTCCGGCGGCCAGTGTACGGTCTGCGTCAGGCGCCCCGTGAGTGGCACGACACACTGAGGACTACGCTTGCGGCTCTTGGTTTCGCTCCCTCGACTGCTGACCCTTTGCTGTTTCTGCGCACAGACACTTCTCTGCCGCCGTTCTACGTCCTCGTGTACGTCGACGACTTGGTTTTTGCTACTGCTGACACTGGGGCACTGGCCCTAGTGAAGGCGGAGCTGCAGGAGAGACACACCCGCACTGACATGGGTGAGCTGCGGAGCTATCTTGGCTTGCAGGTCACCCGGGACAGAGCACGGCGCACCATCACCCTGACTCAGTCACACATGGTGCAGCAGGTATTTCAGCAATTCGGCTTCCAGTTCTCCTCGCCACAGCCTACTCCTCTGCCTACAGGCCACTCGCTCTCACCTCCACCTTCGGACGAGTCCGTAGAGCCGAGTGGTGTCTATCCAGAGCTTGTGGGTTGCCTCATGTACTTGATGACGTGCACACGACCTGACCTCGCGTACCCTCTCAGCCTCCTTGCTCACTACGTTGCGCCCGGTAGACACAGGAAGGAGCACTGGACAGCTGCACAGAGGGTACTGCGTTACTTGTGCAGTACATCAGGCATGGGGCTTGTGTTTGGGGGACAGGGTCCAGTTGTTCTCACTGGTCACTCAGACGCTTCTTGGGCTGACGACCAGACGACTCACCGGTCGACACAGGGTTAAAGTTTCAGCCTTGGCACTGGTTCTGTCTCGTGGAGGTCCACTCGCTCGTCTTCTGTACTTAGTTCCAGCTGTGAGGCCGAGATCTACGCTGGGGCTATGGCTGCACAAGAGCTCCGCTGGCTGACCTACCTGCTGACCGACTTGGGTGAGCGGCCTCGTTCTCCTCCAGTTCTGTCCGTCGACAACAAGGCCATGATTGCTTTGTGTCAGGACCAGAGACTGGAGCACAGAACGAAGCACCTTGCGCTTCGTTACTTCCTCGCACAAGAGCTGCAGCAGCGTGGTCAGCTTCGCCTTTCGTACGTGGCTTTACAGGCCAACACTGCTGATGTCTTCACCAAGGCCCTCGGGTCTTGTGATCACCAGCGTTTCGGCACTACTCTTGGGCTTGTGCCCACTCTACCTCACCTTCTTGTCTCTTGATCTTGCCTTGCACTTGTTGTACTCTGATATAGATGATTATACCTGCATGTTTACACTTGCTAGGTTGTGATCAGTGTACTGCAATTGCTATTATAAACTCTGCATGTGAACTGGCCTTGTGGCCACTTGCTTGTGCTCGGACTGCGTGGTGATCTTGAGATCCACCCTGATCTTTGCTTTGTTTGCTTCTCTTGACTGGTCTTGTGACCGTTTTGTTGTCCCCCACTTAGCCAAGGGGGGTGTGTCAAATGTTATATATCACTGTAGGCTATCTTGGGGTACTCACTAGGGGGTATAGCCCATTAGGGTTCCACATTTGTATCACCCTTGTTGCTAGTCTCATCATTCATTCTCTCACTTAGATTCTAACACTTGTGACCATTTGTGTTCCTTGCTCCTTCTTGTTGTCCCCCAGTTAGCCTATGTGGGTGTGTCAAAACTACTTATATGCTTGCTGGTCTATAGTGGGGCACACAGTAAGGGGTATAGGGTTTTGTACTACGTATGTTCCATCAACCTCAGTTAATTCATTCTGGTGTTCACTTATTGAGAGCCTGGTTTGAGGCGAGCCTGATGAGAGGCTGTAAGAACACACTCTTACACCAGCAAGTGATTAGATATGGTGACTACAATGTCAAGACATAAGATTGGGATACCCTGCTTAAACCCTTGGGTCCTCTACCAGTATCTTCCGTATAAATTGCTTGCAACTTGCAACAAGCTCCGCAGCCATTGGTCTATCGAATCACCCAAGAAACGCCACACAACCTGACAACTCCTACCTAATGTCATTCCCTTCCTCCTCACAGACACGTGTGTCCTAGAGAAACGTAGGAGAATGTGCGAAGGCAGTGGTAGGCGTGTGTTTTGAGCATCTCCTATTCCAGCAGCATGTTTCTAACATCTCGTGCACAGCAGCAGTTGCGGCTCCTCCCCTCTCCTTCTCCCACCTCGCAACTCCCGTCCTCTTCCATCTGTCCATCTGTCAACCACGTGTCAAGTTGCACATCTGCCCTTCAACGCCCCCTTCTCTCCCCGCTGCTACTTCCCCCCGCGGGTCATGTTGGCCATCTGCCCGCGCACAGCCCCCTGGGGGAACGCGGAGGTGCACGTCCATGTCAGTGGCCGTCCTGGGATGGGGAGTGGGGAAGGGGGGTGAGGAGAGAAGAGGGAGGGTCAACACAGGAGGGTCAACACATGAGGGGTGAGACGGAGTGTAAGTAGCAGAGGAACGAGGGCTCAGATGCAAGTGCAGGGAGGGGTGGAGACTCGGGTGGTGGCAGAGAGAAGGAGAGGCAGCGGCGCTCACTTGACAAGCCTCAACTCCAGCCGCCCTGTGGCATTCGCCATGCCTGCTGACCCCACCATCTGCTCGCCACTCATCCGCGCGCCCACCACACCTGCCACGCACAAGCAACGCGTCAACTCAACCGCCTTGCCACAGGCTGCAGCAATGACTGAACATAACAGGTGCATGTGGTGGTCACAAGTAGCCAATAAGACGTCAGCAGCATGTGGTGGTGCAATGACGCATTCGCACTCACCAATCACACTGCCTCCTCGCCCGCCACGCCCGCCAACAGCACCGCCGCCCTCCTTGCGCAGCCCACCACCAGCAGCACCACCACCCCGCTGCGGCCTCGTGCCATTCACGTGCCTCGTGCCATTCACAACGTGCCCCTTCCCTCCCGTCCCACGAGTTCCGTTCGCTGCCGCATGACCATCAACCGATCTCTGCTGCTTCACGCCCATCGTTTCTTGCTGCCTCTGCCGCTTGCTGCCAGCCGTCTGCCCTGCCGGCTGCTGCGAGCGGGGTGGCTTCTTTCCAGACGGAGTTGATCCGCTCGCCCCCGAGCTGCTCGCCCGCTTAGTGCTAGTAGCAACCTTGGCCTTCGCTTCGCCAGCCGTCGGTTGTGAGCGGGTCTTGCCGGCGGCTTCCGCGAGGACTGAAGGGAAGGGAAGGCGGTGAGGGGAGGATGATGGAACAGGACGGCCATGAGCCCGGGTCGAGATGAAAAAAAAACAAAAACAAAAAGGTATGCTCGATGGTGGTGCGAGGATTAGCATATTTGTCGGAACGGGCCTCGTCATACGACAGAACGAACGCCATGACGAGAAGAAATGGACCCTGTGAAATGACGAGTGAATGCGACTCACTGGCCGTGGCGACGAGCGCAAGCAGTGCGAGAAGCAGGAAGCGCCGCGTGGAAGGCATGATGCCGCCTGGCGTGACGTCGCTGAACGCGAAAGCTGGCCGGTGAGAGCGGAGGACAGCGAGCAACCGATTGGAGAGCGGAAGCGGGGATCGTAGATGCCTCGGATGCTGATTCTAACCAAAGTCGTAATGTAGACAGGGTATATTCGAGAGCGTCCAGGCACGGTACTCAGGGGGAGCGGTAAGAATCTTCACTATCCAGAACAAGTGGTTGATGAAAGGATCCATATGCCTCTGCTTTTATATTAGGTCAAATCTGGATGGACGTGATTTCGCGTCGAATCGCCTTGCCAGCGATCAATTTCGAGACATTCCGTGTGCGAATGTGAAATGCGGTACGGAAGCCACCGACAGATGAGGAGTCTAATTCACTAGCGACCGGCCTGGATGATCGCGGGTTCGATCACGGATAACACCCAACACAGCTAACTCCCCCTAGAAATTTATGGCGGGAAGAGAGAATTGTGGAGGAGAGAAAAAGAGCTGTGCTGGATGAGGGATTGTAGGGTTGACTAGTCCAAGCAGGTGTGTCTTGGGGAGCACGTACGCCGTACCGAAAGGGTTCGTTATAACGAGACAAATTATGTCGAAAACGAATTCGTTAACATTCCGTGAATTCAGAAACTCATCACAATAACTAGGCTTCTAGAAACTATTTTAAGTACGGTAATCTAGCGTACATCTTCTGACTACGACTACTGAAATGTGAAACAAGCCTCAACATTTAAAAACTCCTCTTCATAAATGTAGTTCAATATTGTTGGTGACTGTAATGTGTCGGTGTAAGGAATTTTCCGATTCCTTACTGCGCACCTCAATAATGCGTACAAGACAAACCGTTTCTTCGCCCGTTACTGCTAACGGTGTTCGCCACATTCGCACGTCACTTTTGCCAAACCTCGCACTCAGGGCTGACGTTTCATATTTGGCCTCCCTGAATCTGGGAAAAAAATTCCCCATGTATTATGGGTGCACATTTTTCGGAAGTACGCTACCCTGATTGCTCAGGGTTCAACAACGAGTCACTCTGATTCGTCAGGGTTCATAGCACGAGATCAGGGTTAGTTGCAACAGTGCACAGAGCACGTGCCTGTGGCATGGCAGCAAAGGGGGGGGTGAATGTGGACGTCGAATGAGTTGGGAGGTGAGTGTCGTGCGGTTCTTCCTCACGTTAACTTTCCTGCCTCCGAACGTCAGAACGACAGTCGTTTTTTACTGTCATGGAACCCAATCGTGCGGACATTTTGGCACGCCCACAAAGGCCAATGACGCACGCGACAAAAAAAATGTGCACATCAACTGGCGCGCCAGTCAATGGCACAATGCAATTTCGACCGTGCCATGGGAGCCGGTGGCCGTTGGAAATTGTCGCGTGAACGCTCGATGCAGACGCATGTGAGTTGTTGCACCAAGTCTTTCTTGTTTATCGCCCCAGGCGACTCTCGTCGCCTGGCACGTGCGGTGTGTGTGACCAATATCGAGTTCTGCCACCCTGGACCAATCGGGCTGCACTTTTCTGCAAAATGATGGGGCCCCATATCAGGAACGCGAAATCATGGGGCCCCAAATGATTACGCACATGGGGGGTTATAGGGACGAAGTTTCGGGGAAGCGTCGTCCCGCTAACATCGCATTCAGGGTCCAAGGGACGCGTATTCTGTATTGACAGGGTCCATAAGAACACTACACTGAGAGTGTACACGAAATTTCAGGGTCCGCTAAAGCAATACTCTGAATGGATCAGGGTTCAAAAGGCTAAAAGATTGAAATTACAGGGACCACAAGGTGACAAGTCTGAAATCACCCTGAAATCAGGGTAATTACCCTGATAAAATCAGCCCTGCTCGCACTGCTGGACTCGGCTGAGTCGGCCTACGCTTCGGGACTAGCCCGAACCTCGCTGCCAACATCGCACTAACTAGTTCGCGCGCACCGGTTTCTCGTTCGCTATAATTGTTATTGTCAAAACATATTTGTATGTTCTTAGTTCTGCTAGGCTACACTGAGGTGCTCATTATAGAGTACAACCCCAGTTAGAGTTTACTACTTGTATCTCCTTGTTCCTAGTCATTCACCATTCCCAGTTCTCTCGACATGGTTTCAGAGCAGGAACACGGTTAGTTTTTTTTAGGGCCCACCAAATCCGCTCGAACCTGCCCGGAGCGCCCTTGCGCTGCCTTGCCCTTGTTGGAAACAAGTGATTTAAAGCGCTTCTACTGTGTCGAAACACTAAGTCGTAAACGAAGCGAAGCACAACGAAGCATCGGCGAGTCAACCATCGGAGGTTGAAGAAGAAAAGTAACTGCTGGAGGTTACGCGAAAGTCAAAGGTCAGCGACCTTTGACCTGACAAATACAGCGCGACAGCAAGGACAAACAACTGACTCGTTATTGAGCAGTTGCCCGAGTCGTCACTGTATCGAACCGCAACAGCAACAGTAAAATGGTTATTAGCTGTATCTCTTCATATTCCTTGTACTCTTATAAATCCTTGTATCTCTTTGTTTTAATCAATCTATCTTGCCCTCACATACTAGCGCAAGGTGGTTCAATACTCATCATTTGAAACGCTTCCGCAACTACAACATTCCTACTCAGAGTTTAGCCTTGCAAAAGACCCTAAGGGCTTTTCTAAGCCCAACATGGTATCAGAGCTAACAAGGCAAAACTCCACTCCGTTTCAACTCCTACAACATGAGAAGGCATGGCAACACAGAAGGAGAGAAGCTCCTCTAACGGCTCTCCCGGCACTACTCCTACTCCACCTCCAGCCTCTGGCCTACAGACAGAGGGAGGTACAGCAACAAGACCAGCAGCTGAGTCTACTGAGACTCCCGCGAACCAAGCGACGGGCTTCGACCCAAGCATGATGGAGAAATTCTTCTCCTTCATGTCCTTCTACGAACAACACCAGCAAGCGGCACCTGCGCAGTCAAACATCAGCAACAACAACAACGACGTTACGCCCATGAGCCTCGACGGTTCATCCTATGCGCGCGGAAACCAGCAGCAACCCACCTTCGCTCCGTATGAGCCTCAACGTGGCTCGATCAGCTTCATGCCGCACCAGCAGCCTCAACCTGGACAGGAGAAAACATTGGATGCACTTCAGGTTCAATCACAGTTCGCGCACGTTTTGAAACTTCAGACATCAACACCTTTCGACGGGAAGGACTTCTATACTTGGGCATTCGAATTTGAGCTGATGATGGAAGGCGCGCAGATTCTCGGATTCTTCGACGGGTCCCTGCCATACCCAACACACGGAATGCAATACGACAAGCAGCAGTACACGTATCAGTCAATGATGGCATACACGATCCTGCTGAGGAACATAACTTCAAACCAGCAGCAGAACATCCGGTCTTATCGGGGATACGGCAACTCTGCCGAGCTCGCGTACAACCATTTGAAGAACCTGTATCAAGCAACAGACAGCGTCAATCGGAGTCGGTTAATGGCACAGCTGACAACAGTGGAAATGAAACCAGGCGAAAAAGGGATGGCGTATATCAGCCGCTGTCGCGAATTGCGCGACAAACTCCTTCGATGCGGAGGATCGATATCTGAAGAAGCCTTCGTCACAGTCGTCATCTCCGGCCTTGGTCCTCACTGGCGCTCCACCCGCGCCATACTCCGAGCTCACGGGAAGATCTCCGAAGCGGCACTCTGCGCCGAAATTCATGCCGAACAACAAGACATGGACATGCACGAGAAACGACACAAGAGAAAGACATCAGTACCTGAATTCACATTCCACACCCAACGGCGCTTCAACAACTCCAACCGACAGAATAAACAACAGCAGCAGCAGCACGTACCACCATTCTGTCATCTCTGCAAGACGTCTGGACACCCCCGTACACACTGTCCAAGTCTGCGGCAGTCAACGACACCACAACGACAACTTTGACCTTCAAGCAGCCAAGTCACCTCAACACAAGCGCATCCCACTCCTCAAGTTCAAGCCTCGACAACAACGCAACCTGCACAAGGGACAAGAAACATCGTGAGCTGCATGGCAAGACTGTCAGACTCCTGCATCACTGAGTCACCACCGTACTACTCACCTGAAGAACAACTTGACGAAAGCACTCCTCGCCGCGAGACACTGGAGCCGAACCCGACATACGCAGCCATCGCCCAGAGTGAGCTGTCTGGGAAAGACACTTGGTTCTTGGACAGCTGCTGCGGACAACATATGTGTTCCTCGGGTCGCTTCGTCCAACGGGAACACCAACTTCAGCGCGAAGTCGTCATCACCGTCGCCAACAATCAGAACCTGCGCACACGACGACAGGGCGTAGTTCAACTTAAGTCACGAGAGACCAACGTCATACTGCAAATGTCAAAAGTTTTAATAGCAGAGAGACTCGGCTACAACTTACTGAGTGTCAGTCAACTGATGGCGAAAGGCATTCACCTCGAAGCAGACAGCACCACCCAGGAGTTCAAGTTGTATCACGGGAAAGGCGGACTCTACAACGGAAAAGAGGTGTTGAAGAACTATGTCTTCGTCCTCGACTTCGTTCCAGACCTTGGCACTGTCGACAGCGACGCCATTGTCAACTTCACTTCCTGGACACACCCACCCGATCTTGACCCCGGCTTTAGCCCCGGCGGCTTTTGGTACTCGAGCACGGTACCTGAGGCAGAACGAACACGAGCATTAGCAACAATTCAACAAGCAGCAGAGACAACATCGGCAGCAACAGAAACATCATCGGCAGCA